AGAGTCTCAAGCTGTCGCCCTGGGTAGAATGCTGTGGTGTCAGCCCACAGCCCTCATATTCTTGGGCTTAAGTGATTCTTTTGCCTCAGCGTCCCAAGTAGCTGGGATTACAGACTCCTGCCACAATGCCTGGTTATTTTTTTGTTGCAGTTGTCACTGTTGTTTTAGCTGGCCTGGGCTGGGTTCGAACCCACTAGCCTTAGTGTATGTGGCTGTCACCCTACTCACTGAGCTACAGGCGCCACTCATATGTTACATATTTTTATATGGTTGTTATTAGAATTGCATTGTATGATTTAAAATTTAGTTATATACCACATTATATTTGCTATTTGTTTTATAGTTAGTCTTGACCACTATGAAACTTGAGTATAAGCTTCTTGAGGGAAGAAATCAAGTCTTCTTGAATATCTTTATTTTTCTTTCTTTTTTTTTTTTTTTGAGACAGAGTCTTACTTTGTTGCCCTTGGTAGAGTGCCATGGCATCATAGCTCTCAGCAACCTCAAACTCTTGGGTTCAAGCAATTCTCTTGCCTTAGCCTCCCAAGTAACAGGGACTATAGGTGCCCACTACAACACCTGGCTATTTTTAGAGTCAGGGTCTTGCTTTTGCTCAGGCTGGTCTTGAACCTGTGAGCCCAGGGCAATCTACCCGCCTCGGCTTCCCAGAGTGCTAGGATTATAGGCATGAGCCACTGTGCCTGGCTTTAATATCTTTATTTTTCATAGGATGGTATTTAGTACCAAGAACAAAGTAATAATCTGAAATAAAAAAAAAATAATAGATGTTCAGTGTATAGTTTTGATTAACAGAAGTTTTAAATGTCTTTTTAAATAATTTCAATTTATATTCTTTTAGGTCTACCAGATCTACTCGAAGCGATCTGCTGAAGATATTTATAAAATACTGACATCCTACAAAGCTAATTACCTAATTGTGGAGGATGCTATCTGCAATGAGGTGGGAACCATGAGAGGCTGTAGGGTTAAAGATTTATTAGACGTTGCAAATGGCCATGTAAGTAACTGTTTGGTAAGAATTATTTTTTTGAAAAATGATTATTTAAACTGGTAATCTTCAAACTTTGTTTTTAGAACTTAACTAAAGAATATAATTAACAGTTACATAATAATTGGGTGGGAAGGTTTACTGAAAGTAGCGTGAAGTATTTTTTCTTTTTTTCCTTTGAGACAAGAGTCTAACTCTGTTGCCCTAGGTAGAGTACTGTGGTGTTATCATAGCTCAGACCTCAAACTCCAGGGTCCTCTAGCTTTAGTTTTTCTATTTTTAGTAGAGATGGGGTCTTGCTCTTGCTCAGGCTGGTCTTAAATTCCTGAGCTCAAGTAGTTTGGCCATTTTTTATTTGAGTTGTTTGTCTTTTTTATCATAGAGTTGTAGAGTTTGGGGGTTTTTTTGTGGCTTTTGGCTGGGGCTGGGTTTGAACTTGCCACCTCTGGCATATGGGGCCAGCGCCTCACTCCTTTGAGCCACAGCCACCGCCCAGAGTTTTAAAAAAATATTCTACATACAAGTCCCTTATTAGATACATGATTTACTGTTTACTCTACTAAAAAATAGAAAAACTAGCCGGATATGGTGATGGGTGCTTACAGTCACAGCTACTCAAGGAGGCTGAGAGAAGAGAGTTACTTGAGCCCAAGAGTTTGAGGTTGCTGTGAGCTATGACACCATGACATTCAACCCCAGGGATTGAGGTTTTACTGGGTTTTCACTCTTCTTTACTGAGTGAGACTCTCTCTCAATAAAAAAGGGAAAGTAGTATGTCAATTTCCCAGCTTTGCTAGGCTTCATGATAAAGTTCTTTAGAGTAGTGATTACAGATTATGAAAGTGTTGCCTTCTAAATTTTAAAAATTGGGAACACTTGAGTTGGTAGGGGGAATGGTGGAGGTGGGGAGAAAACCAAAAAATAAAAATGAAAAATAATTTTAAATAATTGGAACTACTTTATACTGGTTTTTCAATCTCAAAGAGAAGTTCAGGGAGTTTAGTGAGCACTTGTGAAGAGGCTTCTATTTGCTAAACAATATTAGATATTTTGCAGTCTATATTTAGCAATAATACATTTTTTCATAAATGTGTAGTCACTTATACATCAATTACATTTCTCCTGTAGGTATAATCAGGTTTTTAATATTATGTTTCATATCTTTTGATAGGTGATTTGTGAAGAAGGTGACAAATTAACTTACACAAAATATGGGCGATTTTGTCATGAGGTCAAAATTAACTATTCTCCATATGTAAATTATTTCACTAGAGTATACTGGAACAGGTCCTACTTTGTATATAAAATCAACACTGTGATATCCTTCCAGTCTTGAAAAATAACAGAGCCTTCATTTCAAAAACTTACGCTACCTGAAGTGTACTGCAATTTTCTTCTACCTACGTGGCGTCTTTTGGAGATCAGCATTTGTACTTTTGAAATATTGCTGCCTCTTTTCCCTTCCTGCTGTTAACTGGATCCATAGTTCTGTGGGAATCGAAGATCAAGCGTTAGTGTCTTTGTAATGTCAGATCTATCATCTGCAGTATTTCAAAGTGTCTTCCTTGCTATTGTGTGGTCTTTAAAGGTTTTACCTATTGAAACATTTTCCCCGTAAATCTTCATTCTGTCATAATACAGATATTGAATTTGAATATTTTCAGAGTCAGACTACATTTCTCAAATATAACATTTAATAAATACTTAATGTAATATAATTTTATAATGGAAGGAAAGAAGTATTCTTACCTTCAAACAAGTTGTTGAAGGTGTTTAATGGTTTATAACAGAACTGAAATTTTACATTAAAGAACTAATTTAAATGTTAGCTGAAAATATGTGACATTTAAATTAAAATAGAGGTTATATAAAGAAAAGTGATAAGGATATACATAAAGATATATCCAGAATTTTCCATGATACTATATAAATGAGCACTTTCTTAGTAATACATAATGCATGATACTGCGTTTTATTATTTTATGACTGTCTATTAAGTGATTAGCTTTTTTCACTTATGCTTATTAATTTGATACCAGTTTAATCATGACAAACCAATAACTGTTATCTATCTATACATATATTTTAATGAATATTTAAAACAATGTTATTTAGATTTGACGTAAAAAAATATGGATATGGAGTATACAGTCTATTCACATGTTTTCTATTGAAGTGTTACGTAAAAAATTAAGTCTCTATCAGAATAAGAATGTGTTTTTAAAATGAGCAACAATTTCTGGGGATGTGCAGATGCTGTTAAATATACCTCTGCATACAGATGTATTTATTATAAAATGCAAGTGATGTTATTTATGAAACTGTGATTCAGTCTTCAATATTTAGAATAAAATAATTATAATAAAATTTACAACACAATTTCACAGTCTAAATGCTATTGTTCCTTTAAGTTTTTTCATATTTTTAGTCATTTATTAAAATAAGTTCTAAAATAACTTATTTTAGATTCAGGATAGATGTAGCCTATGTATCTATCATTTTAATAAGTTGGGATGCATGTTTAGTTTTAGTTCATATACCTGTTCAGTAGACAGATTTTTAAAACTTTCACTTGTTAGAATGCTGCAAAAGATTGCATTTTTAGTAGTATAAATTACTACATTAGAAGGGAGCATCTTTTCATCATCTTATTTTCTGTAATATATGATTTAAAAATTCATGCATTCTGAGATTAACTCTAGGATGCTTTGCTCTTTTAGACTTTAAGAATTGTTTGATGGCTGTTTTGTATTTGAGGCATTAGTTTCATTGGTTCTCATTTCATTCTCATGGAATTTTTAAACTATATTAAGATAACTGCAGGCAGTGTACTTCAGGTTGACTCTGTACATCTCTAATAGTAGTGAGTCACTGTTATTAAGCTTCAAACCTTATGAAGCTACTACCATAGTTACCTAAGTACACAGTGAATAGTCACATGGTACTACCTGTGATTAGAGCATGTAAAACAATGCAATTTAAAAGTCTGCTTGCATAATTCGAAGGGGAAATAGAATACCCTACTTTTTATGTATTATGAAATATTTAAGTGAATTTTTATTGACTTATATTAAGATTACATGTGCTGAATTAGTTTTGGTTGCCTCTGTCAACTTATAAATACAACAGATTTGGAGAAATTTTGTTTTTTTTTTGAGACAGATTTCTTATTTTGTCACCTCGATAGAGTGCCCTGGTAGAGTGCCCTGGCCTCATAGCTCATAGCAAACTCAAACTCCTGGGCTTAAGCAATTCTCTTGCCTCAGCCTCCCAAGTAGCTGGGACTACAGGTGCCTGCCACAACGCCCAGCTATTTTTTTGTTGCAGTTGTCATTGTTTTAGCTGGCCCAGGCCAGGTTCGAACCCGCCAGCCTGGGTGTATATGGCTGGTACCCTACCCACTGAGGCACAGGCACTGCCATATTTGGAGAAATTTTTAGTGGAAAGTTTTAAATAATGAATTTTTAATTTAGCATCAGTTGATAAAGAAATGTAAGGTTGATTATAGAAATTATAATATTGGATATAAAGATAAGCTTATTTGCTTCTATTTTTAGCTGTAGTTATAACAATAGCACTACAAAACTGGGAAGCATTTAATTTGTTTCTTCACCTAGTTGTAGAATAACAAAATGATTAATAATTCTGCAAGTAATTCTACTAAGTAACTTAACAGTTGTTAGGTGTAACAATAAAGATCTACTATGAAAGGAGCAAAGTTTATGGGTTTTAGGTAGAAGGAATTTCTCAAAGAAATACAAAATTATACTATGCCCTTGATATTGCAAACCCATTGAAATAAGTGCCTTAACTTTATTTCTAAGTTTACTTTTTATTTTTAAAAATTGTTATCCATTCCTTTCTTTTCCATAAGAAAATTTTGGTAATTTTTGCTCATCAATAAGCACAAAAAAGACTTTTCAGTATGCTATTTTCACTATTAATTCAGTAATAAGCAAATCTTTGAGTAGAGATGGGATTTCTAGCCTTTTACATTAATTTATTTAGCTTTCCAAATGCCATGCAAGCCAACAAGGAAAACTTACTTGAATAAGGTATATGATACGTGTATTGACTCTGCAGTGGTTTATTTTTTCTAACTTTGGCTTCTAGGTCTTGGTGCTTTTTGTTAGACTGGTAGAGTCTTACCACTGAAGGGATATTTCATTCATTGTATTTCAGCACTACCTTTTTTATTACTTTCTGTGTATATAAACAGCATTTTTTTTCTAGAACATTAATGCAAATCTGCAGTAGCCTCAGTGTTGTGGCACTCTTCCTCACAGTCTAGACTGATGGAAGTAAAAGGAGAAATCAAAGTCAATGTGTGTTACAATTTGGGGCTGAAAAACATGCTTTTTATAAAAATAGATTATGAATTTTTTTTTGAGACAGAGTGTCATTATGTCGTCCTCGGTAGAGTGCCGTTGTGTCCAGCAGCCTCAAACTCTTGGGCTTAAGCAATTCTCTTGCCTCAGCCTCGCGAGTGGCTGGGACTACAGGCTCCTGCCACAATGCCTGGCTATTTTTTTTGGTTGCAGTTGTCATTGTTGTTTAGTAGGCCCGGGCCAGGTTCGAACCCACCAGCCTGGGTGTATGTGGCCAGCTCCCTACTCTCTGAGCTACAGGTCCTGAGCCTGATTGTGAATTTCTTAAAGGGCACTGTGAATAGCCATCTTATTAAGTTGTATTGTTTTTGAGAAATCAATTGTTTTGGACTTTTTCTATTTTTGAAATGTTAAAACATTTTGATGCTTTTGTGGATTAAAGTAGTGCTTCTCTTACAATTGGTGGGGTTTAAAAAAGTATGTAAATTGGTTTTTTGGTACGTTTATTTTAAATGCTTTAGTATTTAAGGGGCATATGTTACTAATTAATCTGTATATTAAGTATGTTTTATAAAGCAAATAACTACTTCCTGATTTACATCTCAATATATTCTTGCTTCATTTGTCCAGTTTTTAAAATATATAATCTCTGTTGCTATTCGGTAATAGTTTATAGTTTTAGATCCTAATATGTATTAAATTTATAGCTCTGAAAAACTGCAAGTAAAATTGAACAATGTTATTGAAATAATATCTCTTTATTAAGTTTTTGAATATGTAATGCTAACATTTTAAATAAAATTAGATGTGAAAATTGGAAAGGAATATATATGACTCAACTATTTTCTGTCCATTAAATTTCTAAACATTATTATATTTAGTTGTTTTTCATAAAAAAGAACATTTGGGGATCAAATTTGCTGAGTTTAGCATAAAGGCAACTTTGAATCATTTTTGTTTATAAGTCTATTGATTTTCAACATTTTATTTATTTATTTATTTTTAGAGACAGAGTCACACTATGTTGCCCTTGGTAGAGTGCCGTGGTGTCACAGTTCACAGCAACCTCAAACTCTTGGGCTTAAGCAATTCTCTTGCCTCAACCTCCCAAGGAGCTGGGACTACAGGCACCTGCCAGAACAACCGGCTATTTATTGTTACAGTTGACATTGGCGTTTAGCTGGCCCGGGCCAGGTTTGAATCCACCACCATCAGTGTATGTGGCTGGCATAACCACTGTACTACAGGCGCCAAGCCAATTTTGAACATTTAAATTTTGGCGTGTATCATCCTATGTTCTTCAAGTGATAAACTGAATTTCTGAGCACTGTATGTATTTAGTGGAATTTAACATGCATTCTGAAATAACTCATAAATAATCCTTTCAAATTTTAAGTTGATAGCTTTGTACAGCTATGTAGCACAGATAAATACAACTACTTGTATGTGTATTGACCTTTGAGTCATATCTCTGAGAATGTGTATTTAGATTAAATATGTTCCTCCTGGCTCCAGCCACGTACACCTAAGGTGGCGGGTTCGAATCCCCAGCCTGGACCCGCCAAACAACAATGATGGCTGCAACCAAAAAATAGCCGGGCGTTGTGGCGGGCGCCTGTGGTCCCAGCTACTTGGGAGGCAGAGGCAGGAGACTCGCTTGAGCCCAGGAGTTGGAGGTTGCTGTGAGCTGTGATGCCACGGCACTCTGCCCAGGGGGACAGCTTGAGGCTTTGTCTCAAAAAAAAAAAAAAAAATGTTCCTCCTATAACTAATCTTACATCTTTATGGAGGAGGAAAGTTAATTTTAATAAATGTAAATCCTTGAAAAGAGGGGATTTTTTATTTTATTTTATTTTTGAGACAGAGTATTGCTTTGTCACTCACAATAGAGTTGTCATTACAACTCACAGGAACCTCAAACTCTTGGGCTTAAGCAATTCTCTTGCCTCACCCTCCCAAGTAGCTGGGACTACAGGCTTCTGCCACAACTCCCAGCTATTTTTAGAGACGGGGGGCGGGGGGGGGATGTCTGGATCTGGCTCAGGCTGGTTTCAAACCTGTGAGCTCAGGCAGTCCACTTGCCTTGGTGTCCCAAGTGTTGGGATTACAGGCGTGAGCCACTGCCACCGTACTCAGCCTTTAAAAGAGTTGCATTATAATCTAGTTTACTTTAGATTTTGTAATATTCAATATACTTTTATCAGGAATGAAATTATTTTATGCTTAATTATCCTCCTTCATTAGTTTCCATATGCTTTTCAGGGCCAGGCATGGTAGCTCAAGCCTGTAATCAGCATTCTGGGAGGGTGAGGTGGGTGAATTGCCTGAGCTCAGGAGTTTAAGACCAGCCTGACCAAGAGGGAAACCTGTCTCTAAAAATAGCCGGGTGTTGTGGTGG